TTTTTTTACGCTTAAATCTCGTCTAGGCTCGCTTAAACTCGTGAAACTTGAAATTTCGCATCCACGCTTAGTTGAGCTTTATGCTTTTTAAAACACTCAACACGTGCATTTATAAAGGTGTGAAGGTGAAAAGACGGAATATGAATTGCCCAAACCTTGGAAAAAAAGATTGGAATGCCAAAAGTTTTGCTTCTTGTAAAAATTCCATGAAGGGGAATGTACACGAGTTTAGCTTAATGTAATTAAATGCTCGGGGGTTGACGATTGAAGAAGACGTCAATTAATACGCAAATAAATAAAATAGTGGTTCATTAATGACATTGACTGCTTTTACATTCAGGTAGTTGCCAATACAAAATTACAAGGAAAATAAAGGCATCAATGTCTAAATTACAATTTGCCACAAGCTAAACGCATTTGTTCCTTGAGCTTTCCCGAAACCCCGCTCTGTTTAGAAGAAGCAACAGACTATTCAGCTGNACAAAATTACAAGGAAAATAAAGGCATCAATGTCTTAATTACAATTTGCCCCAAGCTAAACGCATTTGTTCCTTGAGCTTTCCCGAATCCTCGCTCTGTTTAGAAGAAGCAACAGACAATTCAGCTGTAACATCCTCATCAACCTCCTGCTTGGTATACCGCTCAACCAAAGATTTGGTTCACTCAATTTCCTGGGAAGCATTGCACTTTTTAGCAGCCATGCTAGCCCTGCTTGAATTTCCTTCATCTCTGCAGCCAAGCTTATCATCAGGGAATCTTCGACCATAACTTCAGAGGAGATCTCGTTTAATTCAACATTGGCTTTATCAATCTCTTGAAGCAGAGACTCCTTTTCAGATACAGCATGAAGACACTGAGTACTCCTGACCTTCAATTCGACATTTATGGCTAACAAGGAGATGATTTCAGAATGGATAACTTTCAACGTCGCTTTAAAATCAGAACAAACGTTGAGCGACGGAAGTTTGAGTGCTTGCGCCAGTTTCACGCTCAAAAGCTCAAATTTATCTTTTTGTCTAGCAGTACTAACATTGACAATATCCATATCCATGAAAGAAATATACTCAAACACTGATTGCTTGAGAGTCTTCATATTTTCTTCCGAAAAAGCAGAAGATGAAGCAAAAGGACGACTGGTTGAAGAAGGGCATATGTCTTTAATTGTCCCCAAGAAGTGAACAAATCCCGGATAGAGCGCATGATGGCATTTGCATCCTGTGAAGAAAAATGCAAGCATTTAACATTTTCATTGTAGCAAATGAAGAGAAGAATGAAACAAATGCTACCTCATCAGCAACTTTGGAAAGTTTGGGCACGTCACCGATTGACTCAGCCACCCGTGGAGACTTTCCCTTATCTGGACGAGCAGACTCTGCCACACCGGGCAGATCCANAAAAATACAAGCGTTTAGCCTTTTCATTGCAGTAAATAAAAGTGAAGATGAAAAATGAAACAACGGCTACCTCATCAGCAACTTTGGAAAGTTCAGGCACGTTACTGATTGATTCAGCCACCTGTGGAAACTTCCCCTTATCTGGACGAGCAGACTGCCACAACGGGCAGATCCATGGGAACCTCTTCAGAATTCAAGAAACCATGAATCAAAGGCCAGTAGTACAGGCAAAGGTAAAGATATTAAAATATGTATTACCTTCTGGATCAACACTTGGGAGGTCAACGCCCTGAAAAGATGGCAGCTCTCCAACTAGCTATGGTGAAGACTCTGGGGATATGGATTTCTCTTGCAGCAGAGTCCTGGCATCAGATGACTTGGATGGAGCAGCTTCAGCAGGAGGTGATGAAGAAGGGGATGTTAAGACTAGAGCCTTCGAAGGGGAAGGTGAAGTCTTCTGAAAATCCAGGTAAAGCGTTAACCTATGAAGAATAATTTGGTGTATAAATAAACAGGCTCAAGTACCTTTCTCCTAGCGATGAGAGGAGCATCATCATCGGCAAAACTGGTGAAGATGGGACTGGCCGTTTACGACTGGAGGCACTTTTTGTTGCACCAGCTCGAGCAGGAGGAGAAGTAGATGGAAGGGCCAAATGTTTATTGCGAGCAGGTGAAGAAAGATTCCTAATGGACACAGGGGTGGCCAAAATAGGATAAGTGGAGGAAGTCTCTAGCCGATCTAGTAAGTGGAAGGCACGATTAACATCAGTGATGAACAACCTGCACTGATGGCCATAGTTGTTCAAACAGAGAATAAACGGCAGAACTGGAGTTGAAAGGGGCTAATGAGAAATTGCTTGTCAAAAGAATGTTGCGGGCATCAATAGTTTGTGCTTCTGCTTTATTGATAGTATGTAAACGGTCTATCAAACTTTTAGAGTAACAAGGAAGAACCGGACAGGTTTGGCCAAAACCAAGTTGACGAGCAAAAAACTAGGGAACATGTATCTCAACTCCGGCCTTGGCATTGGTTCCAATTAAGATGTTGTGGAACAATTCTCTCCAAATCAAAATTTGAACCCAAACAGGCAAAAAGGTGCTCACATCGTCCATAGTGGACGAAAGTTACACATAATCTGGAGTTGAATGAGTAGGAAAAGGGAAAAAAGAAGGGATTGAATCTAAGGTATAAAAGAATGAAAAAACGTCCCTATGGACATATTTACAGGCTTTAATGGGCCAATGGCTAGCCTATAGCAGCTAGTAGAACGAAGGGGAGTAGATGAAGCACCAAGTTGTGGAAAGTATGCTCTCAATCACAATTGAGAGAACCAAAGGGGCCCACTGCCAGTGGGAGATGCACAATTCCTTAATTGAAATTGAAGGGAAGCCATGTCTCTACAAAAGACAGCTAAAAAGAAGGAACATAAATTCAAAGG